TTTTAATCGGTTTTTATAATAAACCGGAGCACCTGGATCCTGCCCAAATCCGGTTTTATTCGGTTTTATTGAAGTTAAGTCGGGATTTCAGTCGCACGCACCCATCAGCGGCGTCTTCATTAAGTCGAACCTCAACGCGTTCCACGACTACCCGACGCCCGACGACGGCGACAACGACAACACCGAGTCCAGCGGCGAGAGCGACGACGACGAGGAGCAGGATTGAAGTGTGCACGAGACGCCGATAATAAAACCAGGTTTTAATCGGCAAAATCGGGTTTAATTCCATTACAACCAATAACCCGATTTGTCGGGCAAAAAAAAATCGGGTTTTTCCCACCCTTGACGAATTCTGCTGTACGTACGTACGCTTTGTTGAACTTGTACGTACGTATGTGTGCGTGTTGAACTTCTTTCGCACCGTACGTTGCCAACCGTGCTAATCGGAGGTGCGGGGAAAGAACAACAAACTGGACACAAACATCATTCACACTGCCTGGGGTGGACAGAAGGGGAGAAGGGAATTTAAGAAGCTTGCCCACGCCAGGAGATCGTTTAGAACCGGCGACCTCTGGATTGTCCAATTGGTTCACCATTGCTTGTCTATTGTACGTGAGCGATATTGTTGTTTGTGTTGTACACTTCCATGTGTCCAGAGGTGCGGTTGTGACATTATACGAATCGTGACTTCATTTGTTTGACTCTGCTCTAATTATTCAGATGCTGTGTTAGAGATGTGTGTTATTTTGTCTCCTTGGCATAAAATGGTCATATTACATTAGCGTATGGCAGATGCTGGCCATGTGCCGAAACGCCATGCATTTGTTGTGCTTCGTGTGCTAGAGATAAATCATTGCAGTGTCTTTCTTCTTTTGGCACTTTTTGGTGCGCAATCCATGCAACCACACGATGAGTAGATGGTTGCCTGCCCACAGGTGGTGGAAAGTAAGTTCATTAAGGTGTTAGAATTCGCATAATTTGCACAAAGATGGTGTTTTATGTAAGATTAAGTAGTCGTAGACCACCTTGAGTTTTAGGAAATCAGCAAGCTGTAACAACTGTATGTTGACGTCGTGAACATTTTCCAGAGCTGCATAGAATCGATCCTCGCGAGCCATGTTCTGTCCACTGCTGAATGACAGCCTTCCCACGTCGTTCTCGACGCTGCCTCTGTCGTCTCTCACGGTCTTGCGATGCCACAATCCGTTCTTGCGCGTGCGCACGACTGGATCGCTTTGTACGGCGTCCTGAGATGCCCTTGGTGGCTAGGAGATGTTAACTACATCGCCTGGAATACAGGAGGCCGTGGGTTCGATCGCGACCCTGACGTCTGCCATATATGTGGAGTTTGCGTGTCTCTCTCTCTATCCGTGGTGAGATGTTAACTACCTCGCCTGGTATACAGGAGGTCGTGGGTTCGATCCCGACCCTGACGCCTGCTGTATATGTGGAGTTAGCGTGTCTCTTTCTCTCCGTGGTGAGATGTTAACTGCCTCGCATGGTATACAGGAGGCTGTGGGTTCGACCCCGACCATGACGCCTGCTGCTGTATATTTGGAGTTTGCGGTCTCTCTCTCCCCGTGATTGCATGGATTTTTCTCCGGGTCCTCCAGGTTGTTCCCTCCACATTTAGGAATGTGCGTTTAGAGTATTTTTTTGCTGCTCTAAATTTCCACCCCATAAGCCACTTCGTTGAGGTGTTACTTGTGGCCAGGTCGCTTCCGAAAAAGAGCAATACAGCTCAGTGGGTCTTACCTGGTAAAATTTAAAATAGTTGATCCAAATTGCATCGTATCGTAACTCTTGCCTAATTAATTGTGCAATTTTATGTAAATTATCTGGTTGGCATGCGTTGATCCTTCGATTACCTGGTAAAATAAAAATGTTTTTGTGATTTTCTAACCCTCCCTATACTTTGCAATCCTATGGTGTTTTTGTATTGTTTGTTATAACGTTCTGACCCTGCATCCCTACTGGAGATGTGAGCAAAAAGAGCTTCATATCTCATCGGATTCCTTGAGTATATTTATTCTGATTCTGAAAAGCTATTGACGCTCACAATACACTCATGGAATTGTGTGCGCAACAATACATTATTTACACCGATTGGAAATGACCGTGCATTATTTGCACGGTATCTGCGAACCAGTCCTACCTCCCCGTCACCCCTCTTCTAATTTCACCAACCCATTCTGACCAGCGTGGCGAAGTATGGTCAAAACAACACCCATGACCGATGCGGTCCCGTGGAGTACTTTCAACCCAGGAGTGGTTTGAAGACGGCGCGGGTGGGAAGCACGAGGTGAGGCAGCCTGTAAATGATCAGCATTAGTCATTACGTTTGCGTGTACGGCACTTGAAATGCACCCTTGTGCATAAACGGGCTTTACTCAGCACGCATTTACGAGCGATGTCCCCGCCGACGCACGCCCCTGCAGGGTCGCGCAGGCCCACGGGCACTGCGGGGCAATGCGGGGCACGGGAGAGGGAAGCCCCGGAGCTGGCGCCGCAGTGGCGGTGGCTGACGGATGATGACATCACCCGCGTTGTGGCCGCGACCACCGCCGCTGCCGCTTCGCGAGCCAACGCCGTGCAGCTGCGCGGTGGGGATGGTGGGGGGGGGGGGCACACGTGTAGGCTGCCTCGTGGTGGGCGGGTGGCGGGGTGCTGCGGGTAGGGCAGAGATGGGACGAGGAGGGGACGTCGTGACGGCAGGGGATGGTTGGAACTTCGGTCCGCTCGCTCGCTCGCTCGACAACCCCGTAACGGAAAGTGAGCGGGGGGAGCGGGGGCGGGGGGGTTGGGGGGAGGGGCTGAGCACACCCCCCCCCCTCCCATATTAAAAAATATATTTTTTGTAGCCTCGTTTCTACAGTTTTATTTGCTTCCTTAAATGTAAGATGAGAATGGGCTTTGTTTCCATCGTAAACAATTCTCGCGCACCTGTACGGTGGCGGTAAGAATCGATGGTAATCGGTGATCCCTCACGTGCCCAATCGCTCCGAATTTAGAGCAGTCGGACGCCTTCGCGAGCCTCGCCTCGTGTTAACCTTGTTGACTCGTCACTCGGTCTTCAGAGCTCAGGTTCATCGCCGTGCTGAGACCGGCACAAGCTTGTTCAACCCTCCCTCACACGCCTGGCCTGTCGACCGTCCTGCGGGCGGAAGCACTCTCTTCGTGGTTAGCACGCTGCAACAGGTCACGACCGCTTAGATTACAACTCCTGGTTCGATGCCCGGAGCGAAAGTTGAAACGACGGACAAAGTTCGTAAAAAAATCCTCTCTCTGTCCCACCCAGCAGTGGTGCACGCGGGTACAACCACTGGTCTGGTCGATGGGCAGGTCGCGTGCGCTGGGCTTAAGTGTGGGGTGGCTCCCCACCTCTTCCAAGACGTCTGGCCAGCGTGGAAGAGTAGGCCAAAATTCCTCCAGCCGGGTGGGTGGGGGGGGCTCTCATAGAGCTTTGGTGGACGCCCTTCCCCCAGTAGTAGTGTGAGCAAGCAATTGCAGGGCTTCGCCCTCACCGTGTATGGAACGCACTCGGTGTGTGTTTTTAATGCACTTTCACGATGTACTATTACTCATTCTTTCTTGGGTTTTCTCTCGGCTGTCATCGAGGCGATGTCTCTGGGTGTCTTTCGACTAAAACACGTAAAAGCCAGTCGCAACGTCACCTTAAAAAGCACCCCCCCCCGCCCGCCGTTGTAGGTTTCCTCTGGAAAGGAACAAACGAATCTCAGTGGGGCTTTCACTCGGCGAAGTAAAGGGGCTTGATTGATCGGATTTCGCTAAGGGGTGTCACCTTCGCTATAAATAAAGACATTCGTATATACTGTGTGTGTGCGTTATTTTACGTTCCATTCAGCTTCATCCGAGTGTTGCGCGAGGGAGAAAATGCACGCACGAGTTCCCAAAGAATGGAAATTGACAACTGCTGAGGGACTTGTACTGCTGTGTGGCAGTAAGAGTCTTATTTTCCCTATTCTATGGATTGTAAGATTCACATCTTCCCCCCCCTCCTCCCTGTGTATATCAAATCAGTAGTTAGGGGTGCATCTTATAATCCGGTCAGGGTTTGTGTGTGTGTGTGCGTGTATAACTTTATTGACACCGGGCACAAGTTTGGGGTGCGTTTTGGAGAATATTCAAATTGTGCTGAGGTGGAGTTCTTCCAGCAAGCGGTGTGTGTACCACCCTGCGTGAACACAGTGGCCCACAGATATGACAGACCGGGCTGTTGTTAGCGAGCACCTATTAAGTAGCCGTCCATAAATGACGTCACGCATCTGGGGGGGGGGGTCAGACATTTATGACGATGTGTGACGAGGGGGGGGGGGTTTGAGAAATGTGACGTCACATCAAAATGCGCAACTTTAAATCGATATAGACAACACGTTCTACTTAATTAAGTAGACTTTTTAACAAATGTTTTCTCCTACAACATCAGAGTGCAGCGCCACATTAAATACGCACTACAATTACAATAGTTTGAAGCGATTTGAAGCATAAAATTTTGATTTAAAGCTTTCGTGACTGCAGGGATTCATATTCTTGGTTCTTTCGGTAAAGTCACGTTGAAGGGAAACAATAAAATAATAAAATATATATAAAACAATAAAATTCTCACGACGTTTCGACTGCAACACAAGCAGTCATCATCAAGGGTGAAAACCACCGACGTTGGTTTTCACACCTGATGATGACTGCTTATGTTGCAGTCGAAACGTCGTGAGAATTGTATTGTTTTATATATATTTTATTATTTTATTGTTTCCCTTCAACGTGACTTTACCGAAAGAACCAAGAATACGATTTAAAGCATGTTTTATTTTTTTTGGGGGGGGGCAGAGCTTTGTGACGTCATTTGAGGGAGGGGGGGTCTGACTTTTTGTGACGCCGTGTGACTAGGTGGGGGGGGGGGGTCAAAAACCGTCCAAAATCGCGTGACGTCATTTATGGACGGCCCCTTAACCCCTCCGGTGGCCGCGTGTGCCTTCCAGACGGCGGTTTGCGATGCAGGACTCGGGGGGTGCTGAGTCGCTAGGCAACAGTGCGGCCAATCAGGCGCGGGCCAACGGGCGGAGCGGCCAATCGGAGGGCGGCGGAGGAGAGGGGCAACCGTCGTCAGGGGAAGTTAGCGCGGCTGACCTCCTGCACCTCCAGCAACAGGTGAGACTGGGGACCAGTGCCACACGCAGGGCCCACCCAGGTGCCTGTTTCATTTCTCTTTAACACTTTACAGCTCAGGGTTGAGAGTGTTAATGCAACAGCTTTGGCCGTATCACCAACTCTCTGTAATGGGGAGGGGCACGATAACTCTCGGAAAGGTGATCCAATGTGAACAATATGTTCTTGTAAAGTTGTGTTATTGGGGACTTGCCCTCGAGAATACCGAACAAGTTTATTAAAAGATTGCCCAAAACCTTGGTGATAAAAAAATGGCCGACAAGTATTATCGTTATCTTTGGCGGCCATGGTGATTATTTTATTACAAGTAATGTCACCTTTCTGAGTTACACACACCTCTCCACCCCCCCTAATGACATCATAATGTATCATATCAACTTACAATGTCACTTGTCACGTGTCGTGTGATGTCATCTCCTTTTACGGCTTGGAAACGTATCACAACAGAATGTTGAAAAGCGTTACGAAAGCTAAACTCATATATCGGGAATATCCTTATTTACAGTTTACTTGACCTCTTTTGCCAACTTTATCTGTCATGAGACAGATAATCCATTCATATTTCTCGCAGAGCCGTGCATCCCTCCTGTGTTCGAGAACGAACCACTGAAGTAGACTTCACAGAACTACCGCTGAGATCCCTTCAAGTTAACTCTGGTCCACACAGTCGAGGGCGGCACTGTCCCACCCACCCCGCCACTTGAGCGTTACTTTAAAAGTCAAAAATGATATTTTACATTTTCAGAGCTGGAAATTACCCAAGTTAAGTGCAGAACCAAATTGCATTGTTCATCTTTTTGTATTGTTCATTGGTGGCTGGGCCAAGACCAACTCACTACACTCGAGAACCTGGCTTAATGAAATTCAGGATGTCAGTGGTGCCAGCTCAGCTCTCTGATCTCTGAGCCGCCAGGCCACCTTGTGCCATTTTACTCTTAAACTTCAAAAACATAAAAAATATATATATCATAATGGATATTTCAACGAGTAAGCCAGTGATGCACCCACTCCGTCTCCATTAAGAAGCTGGACAAATAAATCAGCTTATTCGTATTCAAATCGGATTGTGTAAGTTGAGTGATTTAACATTTCCTAAAATGGAATTGTTTTGTTGTAATAGCCACTACTGGCCTCGTGTGTTGTGAATTGCATTTTTTTTACAGTAACATCCTAATATTAACTGTCTACGAATTGACAGAATCTTTAAAGTGTATCTTATTTTGACGTAAAAATAATTCTCAGTACTTTCTAAACACATTGGTTTAACGCGATATTACATGTAGAATTTGTTTTTATCCTGTTCGTGAGTATAATTAGTTTCTTTGGACAAACATTACATTTTGACCCATCCCTATTGATTTTCCAAATCACTTTCATGAAATCAGCGGCACATATTGAAAGAAAAAAAAATCCCCGTAATTGTAAATCCACTAAAGCGTCCTTTCCACGCGAGCAAGTGAAAATGACGAGGTGTACGGTTCACTTGAGAATCAAACAAGAGATGTGGTTGCGAGAGCATTCCACATCTTAATGCCACCTCCACTCACCACGCTTCCATCGTCGTCATCTTGCCAAGATCAGTCCGCTGCTGGTTGAAGGCCTTCCCCAAGGAAACAAAATGAATGACACAGCGTGGGGACGCCTTCATCCAGCAGTGGATCAACAAAGGGCTGTAAGTTATGCATGGCTGTTGGTTAGTTATAATTGAGTAATAACCGATGTGCATTGGGTAAGCATAGATAGAGTTGCTTTGTTGATTTATATGATGTTGCTGCAAACAATCGTAAAAGTATTGTGAGTGAAGCGTGAATCTCTCGTAACCGTGCAACACCAAAGTTTATTTTCCAGACCAGTTAAAGAAACTTTATCTTCTGCAGGTGCATCGCTTAACATCTTCAGATATTAAACACGTTAAATTATTTTAAATACCATTTTTTATGACGTTTTACGTCAAAACGACGGAGACGTAAACATTACTTATACGAGGTCGGCTGTCTCGCTGTTATGCCACTTTAGAGCATCAAGCCAGCACCATGGAGACCTCGGTTCGAATCCTGGGCTGCTCGATTCTCAGCCAGCTGTATGCCGAATGTCCTATTGGTGTCGTCTTGTACGACAACGTGTCTTGTACGACAACGTGTCTTGTACGACAACGTGTCTTGTACGACGTCGTCGTCTGCGCAGGGACAGCTGTCATCAGGGAGACCCCTCGGCTAAAAAATATACAAAAAGTGGAAACTATAAAAACTAAAGCCATGATTGAGACGAGATGGTGGTGGCTTCATGGAAAGCCTTTGGCAATGTAACTAACGGTCATGACTCATGTACTTTGAGATGCTGGGGCAACCTACTTGCTATCTTGCTTCCTACAGGTGAGTTGTAGCTGCTGCAGGATGGGCCTTTCAGACACGACAGCTCTATCTCTTCAGGATTCGTCAACCCCCCTCCTCTTACAGTTGCTGGCTTACAAGCGTGCATCACCATAACGCCAAACACATTGTCAACAGAGGCGGGAATCTGATGTTCATCGAAACTTGACTGACGCTCAAACATTGAACACCAACATTTGTGTGTGTGTGGCTGTGTGTGTGTGTGCGGTTAGCGCGCTACGCTATGAACCCGGCAACCTGGGTTCGATTTCAGCTCACGGCCAACACCAGTGACGATTATCTGAACCGGTCATGGGCCTCCCCTAGGTCGACTCAGCCTCAAATGAGTACCTGGTGCGGTGTGTAAACATCGCCACTGGGGAGACAAAGGCGGTCGGGCGTGGTGCTGGCCACCCACCCCCTCGGGTACCGTCCCGGCCTTCATAGGTGCTCGCTAACATCTGTTAAGGCTACACGGGGGATCTTTTATCTCTGTGTGCGCATAGGTAGCAGTGGCGTAGTGGTTAGCGCACTCAGCCTTCAAGGAGTTCCTGGTGAAGCGCTTACAAAAACGAGTACTGGGGGAGAAGACAGAGCTGACCCGGCGTGGGGTGTCGACCACGCCATCGCCTCGTGCACCACGCTGCCTTTAATAAGCGCTCGCAAACAGCACTTACCCAAGAGGCCTGCTAGAGGCTACTGCAGTGTGTTGTTTGTCTTTGTCCCTCCTGTGCTGGAATAGACCAGACCTCGCCGCCGCCGCCGCCCATAGGTTGGGGTGTAAATATCTCTGTGGCCGGCTTAAAGCGCGCACGTGTTCCTGCACGCTGCATCTGCTGCAAAGATGGTGTTGGTTGAAGTCTGATATCGAGGTTTTTTACGACCTTATTTTTCACGCTTTGAACTCCGTTGTTTTCTGGCAGACGGACAAAGGTGGGAAAAATGCGTTTGCTCTTGAGCCTCTGCTTTGTGATGGGCACACATGTGAGGGCCGTTTAATTTATCTGGTATTTATCTGTGCAACTTGTATTTTACTAGTGTTGTTACTCATTCTGGTGCTCGTTTTCACTATGCCTAAGGGTGCGAGAGTGCGGACTTATTGTCCTACGAGGCAACGTTTAGTTTGAAATTAAAAGGGATGCACTTTAATATGTTCTCGCCGTGGTCGTGTGGGTTATTCTCCAGGCCTTCCGGTTCACCCCCCCCACCACATTTCGAATCAACGTCACGCATTTTGAGTATTCAGCTGCTATACTTTTCCACGTGGTGATAAGCCACGTCGTTGAGCTATCATTTGTGATAGCCAGGACGTTTTTGCAAAGGAGCCATATAGCGCAGTGAGTCTTACCCAGTAAAATAACAAAAAAATAGTTCGTAGTTTATATAAATGAGGCCACTTGTATCGCCCCCTTTCAACCCTCCACCACCCTCCTTTCCGTCCCCCTCACCTCATCTCCTCCCCCAGGTAACTCAGACGACGATGCACAGCGAGATCACATGTCCACGTCTCTAGTCAACACGGTGCTAAGGAAGCGTTTGTTTCATGTTCCGTATTTGCGTTCTTTTTTTTTGCCACTGCATGGTGCTGGCATTACTCGCACTCGTCCGTTTTCTCCTGCACAGTGTCCATGCCGCAGCCTCCATCCCCCTTTCAACCTTCACCCCTCCCACCCCTCCCCCCGAAAGTACCAAGGGTTGAAAACAACTCGCTTAAATCCTTTTAATAAACAAAATGAAGGGCAATCAAAAAAATCCAATGTACGGATGCACGCATTGAAAAGCAAACTAAAAGGGGCTTACGAGTGAAATATGCAAAAGTAATAATACTTTGCCAGCATTTTCTGGCCCGCTCAGCTTGGGCTCCGGAAAGTCGTTGGCACCGCTGCGTTTTATTTGAGGCCTCTCCCAAGACGCGCGAATCGTCGCCGTCGCTCGTGACGTTCGCCAAAGTTGCCAATGGGTCTGCTGGGCTCCTCCGGAAAACTCCTGCGGCATCTCGGCTTTTACTGTTGCTCGTCAAAGCGCTGCGAGATTCCTTCTGTGCACACACGCACGCATTTGTGTGCGCGTGTGGCAGTTCGTAGCCGTTCGCCACGCACACGCGCGCACGTGTCCACACGTGGACGGTTCCACAATTTTGACAAAGTACTTTTCAAACATTTTAAAGATTTAATCAATCAGTTTCATTGTGATGTGACTTTTTATATATAAAGTATGTAAACCACTCTTACAACTGCATTTCAGAATGATTTGTCCATCTGTCTTGATAAGGGAGGGAACGCCCTTAACATTCCCACGCTGTTGGACGTGCAAAGACGAACTGACTTTCTTCATCCACGTTGGGAGGGATAGGGTGGGTGCATTCGGTTTTGTGTAATCTATCAAATCACCGGCTTATTCCATATTATTAGCTTCACAATGATATCCCGTATTGATCATTGGAAACGTTTGGTTCATTTTTGGCTGCGAGGCTGCCTATGTTGTGGAACTGCTGGAAAAGTGTTTCCTCTGACTAGTGACGCATTGGAAAGTTAAGTTGCTCAATAAGGTTGGGTGTGCCTCAGTAGCAAGATGTTAACTACCTCGCCTGGTATACAGGAGGTCGCGGGATAG